CCCGACTTGCTGAAGCCCTGACGCCAAAGCCCCAAAGCCCGACGTGCTCCAGGCGGCCTTGTCGGAGAGCCTCCTCCACGATTTCGCGGTCTGCCCTGCAGAGCTTAGACAGCCCCGACAAGTCCCAAAGGATGCAGTGGATACGGCTAGCAAGGAGGAAACCACGCTGATAGCGTCACCGTTTCGTAAGTGAAGATGCTCAGAACTAAGGACCATATGCCCTCTCGGAACCAAGACTTGGGTACCGTATGCAGACCGCTGCCACCCGCACTCAGTTGCGCGTTGCTCTGAGTTTCCTGCTTCTAAAGTGTTGAGCCCTAGAAGCTCTTAAGGTTTTCACAGTGACACGGGCTCAAAACAGGAACCGGGGCTCCGGGGCCCGAGCTGGAGCTCTTCCGAGGCGAATTCCAAGGCTTTCCAGTCCTGTCTCACGGCACCTGGGAGCGGAGTCAAGGCCCCGAGAAATCTCGACCCTCCGACCTCGCGGGCTGTGGCATTTCGGCCTTTGCAGGCTTTCGCTGGCTGCATCGTTAAAGTTTCAGACTTTGAGGTCTAAGCCCAAGCCGACCTCACCCCGTTCTCGAGCCTTGAGTGTTGACAGGGAGCCGATGAAGCGGACTTGTGCTGGGTGATGCTGAAAGCGAATCGATTGGTGACGGGCTGACCCTCGGAACCCCGCTGCAATTTGCACGAGGCGCTGAGCACAGCCTCGCGATCGCGTTGGACCTCTTCCGGCGAGAACTCCAGCTCCTCACACACAAGGCAGGGGAGGGTGAAGTGGCTTCAGGGTAGAGGCTTGGCGCACAGGGTGTTTCGCGGTTTGGGGCTTGCATCTGCGGTAAAACGTTTAAGGTACTTCTCCGCAGGAGCAGCGGCGAAAAAAAATACGAGTTTGCCCCGCTCATGCTTGAATGACAGAGCGGCTTCGCCCTGAAGACTCGTGAGTTTGTGGCGGCAGCAACCGCAGAGTGATGTGAACCAGTCTTCATGATAGAATTTACTCCTACGTTCCTGGGCCCTCTGGTCCCAGTGCATGCGACTTCCGAACAGCTCCGAAATCACATCCAAAACCTTCGCTTCTCCCCCTAGACCTCAGCACTGCTGGGCCGGCAGCAGACGTAAACCGAAACGCCCAAAAGACCCACGCAAGCGGCGATCTCGTAACGTCATATGCAACATGTGGGCTTGAGTAGGACGCTGTTTGTACCCCTCTCGTGAGCTGACCTGAATCTGAAACCCGAATTTTCTTTGAGCGCGCTGCGGTCCGTCCAGTCTCCCAGGACGACCCTCCTCTTGTGATTCACATACAACCTCCAGAAGAGCTGCCATATCCTGGGCCGGTTTGGATTCACGCAACAGGGGCCCTAAGCCAGGTACATAGGAATCATCGACTGCCGCAGTTATTAAACGGTGGCAGCTTCGTGTTACGGACACCCCCCGCCCACAAGCAGAGATCCCAATTGCAAAGAAAGCCTTCGCAGTCGCAGATCATCATTGTCATCATCATCATCATCATCAGCATCATCATCATCATCATCAGCATCATCACCATCTTCTTCTTTTCATCGTCATCATCGTCGTCGTCATCATGGTCACCATCGTCATCGTCGTCCTCCTCCTCCTTCCCCTCCCCCCAGGCCATACTTCCCTCCGAGCCTGAACCGAGGCCAGGTTGATGGCCGGTTTGCAGCACAAAAAAGCTTTCTTCAACCAGTATCAGTGTTTCAGAGGCACAGGGTGAAGACTGGTCTTTGTCGTCGTTGTCATCACGGTCATTTCTCCTCGGACTACTGGTGAACATGTCGACCGAGGCGCGAAGAGAGAATGTAGCTCAGGAATCCCAGCAGCGCCTGGTGAGGAAAAGCTTGCCGTCCTACTCTTCATGGTTCATCGGTGCCCAGTAGCCACTGTAAAGTACGTTGAGAATTCACTGCCAATCTTCAACAAGTTGCAGCTAGATGCATCTACGCAAACCAAGATACTTCTATTCCAGCTCAAGATGTGGCATTGCTCCAAGGGCCTCAGGAAGCACAGAGCCTGGAGGACCTTCTTTGCCCTTGCAGCTCTTGCTCTAAAGCGTAGAAAGGGCCTTCCTGAAGGACTAGTGACCACTGTATCTACTTTAAAACCGAGGCTCGCGCGAACTCCTCAGCGAGATCCGAAGAAGCTTTGTTTAAAAAGGGGCACACAGCTCTTCCAACTCCGTTTCTTACACCTATTGAAGGTCCTGCGCCGCTACTTCTTTGCTGACACTTCCGCCCATCGCCTGGAGGGCTAGGTTTAGGCCCGTTTTGTGTTTAGCACCCATGCCCGGCACTCGGCACACTAAATCATTCAGTCACTCAGGCACCGCTTCTGGTGGCGCACCTTGAGCGACATGAGGATGCTCCATGAGCGACAGTCTGCCTCCACGTCTTCAGGATGGGTTTTGTGCCCCTCGAAAGGTTGAGGGTCGGGTAGACATGTTTTTGGCGGGTGTTCTACACCTGCTTGCGATGGAAAGAGGTGGCAGGAAGCCCTTGAGTCAGAAAAGGCCCTCCTCTTGCAATACAACTAACTCTTAGCAAGCATGCTTGGGCGAGGAGGATCGAGACCAATCATTGCACATCCCTCCCCTTGTAGGGCAAACTATCCTCGGAGAGTGGGTTGATCGAGAGGAACGGGGTTAGCTGCGAAACTCGCTTGTAGCTGCCAGATCACGCAGCAACATGTTGATGCCAGCATGCAAACACGGGTTGTGAGACAAGGGCCTTTAGAGTAATTTTTCCATGAAGCATTCAAATCGGACTCGAAGCGGCCAAAGTGATTTGCAACCTCACGAAGCAACCTGGCATCTCCGGAATTTTGGAGTCCTGTCCTAACCCAAGTCCGTTGAAATCCTCAGCAGCAATCTTGACCCCGCAACACCTTGACCCAAAGGCACCTTTTTAGGCGCAGGTGCAGAGGCAGAGGTCTCGCCCAGGGCGCATGTCTCGCCGTCCATCGCCGGAGGGTGCCTCCGCTTCTAAGGACCTTTGGATGTAACTGCAACAGTCATATTAAGATTGAGAATAATATGTAGGCTTACCCAAAGACTCTGGTCATGCTGCCGGTGCAGATTCTGCTTCCCCTGCTGCTGCTGCTGCTGTTATTACCACTACGACGACGGCAACGATGATTATTGCCTGCTGCTGCTGCTGTCTCTGCTGCCAGCATCGTCATTGCCAAACATTACAATAAGACTAATGATGACCATGACGTCATGTAACAAAGTGCTGAGCCAGGCACACGCGCAAGTCTTTCCAGCTGCCGTGGTGATACAAAGGCAGCTTTTTGGGCTTGGGTGTGGCTTCTTCAGCTACGTATTAGACACAGCAGCAGAGGCCACTCAGGATTTTATGGTGGTAGATAAACAGGATACCTACGTATACGGTGGAGTTTCAGGGCTACGACCGTGGCAGCTTCAGGCATCCATGCACCGCAAGCTGTAGGGGCATCCCAGTCGCGTTCATAAACAACACCCACTGACCTTGACCCCACACACTAACTCCACGGTGCTAGGAATCCCAAATTCCTGGAGTCCAACCGTCAATGTCTCTAGCCGGGAGCAGGACTGATCAGTGTGCTATCTTACCCATGCATCTGGAGCCCGAGAGCTCAACCAGACTCCCTGGATGTAGCGAGCATTCATCTCTCGCAGCTGCGTTCACAGGCGAAAGAGCTTGTAACAGGACTTCATATGATGCCTGCGAGACACGACGGTGTAGCGAAGAATCCTCGAACACGGCGACGATAAGAAAGCTAACAGCTGCCAGACACAAGATGAGCCATGCCCGGAACCTGAACCCCTTGCCCATTTTCCCTCTCTTCGCTTCTGGAGGAGGTCAAGGCCGGACGCTCCGGTCCGGTAGAGCCGAGATGTGGTCGGCTTGGTGACTCTAGTAACTTTAGTACATGTCCCTGTTTGGCAATGTCGACCAGCGAATGAGAGCTAACTCTGTCTAATTAGTTGGGGCACAGGCTGTCAGGTCTGTTTTGATGCTTCAACTTCAATGTTCAGGGATATTTTAGGGTTGCTTGGGTTGACGCAAAGGCATGTGCAGTCACGCTTCCAACTGCCGAATCACGCGATGCCTTGGTGGTAACAGTAGCATGATGCTCCCGCAACTGGCAAGCTAATTCTCCAAGTGCAGCCTGCCATACGGTCATGCAGATGCAGTGACGGTGCACGCGAGGTAAGACGACTAAGAGACAACCGGCATGAACTGCCTGGATTTGGTGAATTTTGCCACAAAAAGGGATGCATACCCTCGACTCGAACACGATCGAGACAAATATGAAAGTCCTGCACGCTCTCACTTTGACCAGCCATGAAACGGTGAACCACCAACAAAAGTCGACTCTGTATGATATGTTGGCCAAGACAGGTCGGATGCCATGCTGGTGCGAATGTTTCAAGAATCAAGAAAGCAGCGGCGCGTTCCATATCCCAACCCCACGACACAACAGCGCAAGTATGCTGATCCCACTTGCCCATGGGTCCTACAGCCCAAGATCAGGAGCAGGCGGAGGATGATGTGGCTTCCACTATCCTCGCAGCAGGTCGACAGTTGTACGATGGACCTAGCGCAAATGGGCTCAGCAGCAACTATCACTACACAGCGGTCACGCAGGCAGCTACAATAGCTCAGATTTGAAGCTAAGTCATCTGAAGCTCCGATGTCAAGGGGGTTTGAGCTGCTCCCAGGCAGTCTGCATGTCTTGACAGCACCGCTGTCCGTGTCGATGATGGGGCTCATGCTGCCGACGTCGAGGGCATAGGAGGCTTCCTGGAGCTGACCAGTGCGGGAACGCAGCCGGCGAGCTCAGTAGGAACCAAGACTAATTGACTGAGACATGCTCGTAACCACACGAAGGGCGGCTAGGGCTAGGGCACGTGCCTGACTTCTGCACTGAGTTATACGGTTTCGTGAATGTTAAGGTGACAAGCCTCAAAATCCAAAACAATCTGTGGAGGTTACTTACTCGCAGCAAGTAGGAACCGCAACCGTTCCCTCTCTTAGCGCCTCGAAGGGCTTCTGCATCTCCCCTTTGCCGAAGAAGCCCAGGTCGCCTCCCTGAGCCGAGCGAACCGGGCGGGGCGGAGAGCATGTTGGGGATGGGGACGGGGGGAGCGCATAGGATCAAGATCAACTCTCTCGACTTGTACATGTCAACACAGCATAGACGGGAAAGCAAGGTACCACAGTGGGTATGGGACTGGACAACTCAACTGCATTCTGTGACCTACTTCCGAAGCCGAGCATTAGCAATATCCTTTACCTGCGATGCGACCGATGTCTCCTTGCACCGAGCCTGGGCGTAGGAGCCGCAGTCACTGCGTGCCTGGGCTTCCTTTGCGAAAGCATCGACGAGAGCCTGGACGGTGACCGACGGAAAGGAAACGAAGAGTCGTTCGTTCTTGCAAGTCATGATCCGCCACTCCTGCTGTAACGCAGGAAGACAGGGAGACCCTGAAACCCGAAGTCGACAACCGACGCTTCCTGGCCAGAGAGGTCTTTGAGCTTGCCGATGATGGCCGTTAGCTCGGTGTGAGCGCTGTCCACCCCGACCTCGAGGTCAGTTCAATGCAGCGAAATTATCAGGGCTCTTCGTGGCGGTTGCGGGGTCTGGGAAGGGCCTAGGATGTATCTGGGGGCTCTTCCAGGAAAGCTCCCAAACAAATTCTGACATGCGGACAGGAGTCTCCTGCCGTGGAGGCTCCAGTGCGCCTCGACACGGGGTTTCGCGACTTGGAGTGCTTGCACCTGGCAGGCGTGGATTATGTCGTATGGGGGTCACTTGAATGTTTCAGAGCTCAAAGCCTTTGAATCTTCAGATAGGATGTCGAGGGTGAGTTGCATTTTCGTGGCGCCAAGATTCTGGCCGGCGTGAAACTCCTGCTATGCAAATCTAACTCTCCAGAACTTCGTGAGTAGTGCGGCGGGCCTTTGTCAAGGGCTAGGAGCTGTGACCGCTTTCGAAATCAGCGGGAAGCTTTGTCGCCATTTTTTGGCACGCGCAGCACAGGTCTCTGTTGCCCGTCAGCACCGATTAGCTATTCTAGGGATCTTAATTTATGCATGCCTGTTAGGTCGGGGCTTATGGACGAGAACTCTGTCTCGGTTCCGGCAGTGCAGCTGGACTTTGCAGTAAAGAACATTGTTATCCGTTCTCATAAGAGAGTTTGCACTGTGTGACTGCTGTATGTGGTGTATTGATGTGTATTGTAAGTATAGCGAAAAAATCGTTGTGTATGTGGGCATGTGAAGGAGGAGTCTGAAGCCATGTATATCAGTACGCTGCGCTATTTCAGTGAGGCATGATAAGCGTGGGCGTCCCGCCCTAGTGTGAGAGGAGACGTGTCGCTAGGCGTGGGGGCCCATGAAAGTAGCCTTCTACTGTAAGGCGTCGGGATGGCGACAGAGGAGACGCTGTTGCGAAAGCAATGGAGAGGGAGGGGGAACTTTACGCGAAGAGAAGACGAGGCCTGCGAGATAGTCAGTGGAACACTCTGCTGTAGAAGGTCCTAAAACCCGATGATAAGAAGAAGACTTGATCTTAAATATTCGGCGGAGTGATTTGAAGTGAACGATATTCATCTTGGTAAGTTGCGTGCAAGTAGTGGTCTAACCATAGTGTAAGTACTAGTAAGAATCGGTCGCCTTATTCAGCAGAACCTCAACAAGAGCCTGAGACCTGGATGCAGGCCTGGCAGACGATACAAAATGAAGGTGCCCAGGACAGCACGGAGCAAGAATGCAGGCAGTCTGGAGGCCACTCTTGTTTGAGCCTTCCTCCTGAACAGGCCGTGACATAATCGTGAGGCGCCATGGGCCTGTAAAGGCCTAAGGCCTAAGCCCTTGAGCCCGCCCAAGCCCGAGTCGGTAACCCTGAATCATACCCGCAAAGGCGGCCGGCATGGCAGGAGGTGCAGAACTCGAACTTTGCCGGCGTCCTTGGCGATGGGACTAGGGCCAGAAAGCCACTAAGGGCAACGGCAGGTTGAGGTTCTCTTGCGCTTGGGCTGATGAGTTCAGGGTTTAAGAGCTTCAGGAACTTTTAGAGTATGCGTTGGAGCCAGTGCTTATTTGTTGGCATGTTGCAACTAAAGCGGTGGGATGGCCCTTGGCTCATGCTGTGCTGCTGTGGCGATACTCCTGGGGACTCATGTGTGTGTGTGTGTGTGTGCGTGTGTGTGTGTGGATTGTTGATCAATT